TTAATAACAGTTCATGTTCTACAAACGGATCAATTTTTATATTGTTTAAATACATATTTTTTGTGTTACTATTTTGTTCGTATATGTAATTGTTTCGTCTTTGACTGTTACTGTTTTGTTTTGCATTACATGTTTCAAATCAGAAAATTCAATAAGTGATTTTACTATATTTTGAATACTACAAACAACAGAAGGTTTGATTAAAAATAAATCATCTACGCCGAGATACTCTTATTCATGAGACATAAATGAGATAAGTTTATTTCAAATGTCTTGGATGAAAAGAAAAATATATCATTTTTTTTTTCAAAAAATAGAGTAAAGAATGAGTTTGACTTTCCAAATGTATAGAGCCAAATTAGACTCTTTATTTTAGAGTCTAAATAAAAAGTCTATTGAGAATAAATTTTAAGAGTTAACTCTATAATAAAAAATTGAGGAAGAATAGAGATCCTATTGGAGATGTTCTTAATAAGTGATTTATTGGTTGAGTCAGACTTTTAGTAACCATTTCAAATTCAATTTTTTCTCATACACCCTAAAGACTAGTTACTCTTGTCCTATTTCGGACATGCTCTAAACAGTTTAAGTCACGGTAATCAACTACCGAATTCAAAAGAATAATCAATACAAATATGTACACCCTATAACAGCAAAAGAAAAAAAGAAAAACCGGAGCAGCATCAAATCAGATCAAGGAAAAGTGGGAGTCAGGAAATCTATGGCAATGACAATGGATTCGTTTTGGGAAAAAGCTGTGCTGCTCCCAGGTCTTAGCCCAAATTTTATATTCTAAATGTATCTCCATCACATACCAGATGAAGTTGTCGAATTTTTGGACCCCACAACAAAATCTGATATGCATTAGAGATATAAAATTTAAGCTAAGACTTCACCAACATAGCAGTGTTGCTTTTTGCTTGTCAGCGTGCTAGCTAGCTTCAACTTGCAAAGCTAAATCAATCTAATCAAGCCGGTGCTAGGACTTGTGAGCAGCAAAAGCCCAAATCTGCACTCTTTGAGGTGTTTGTGTGTTCTTGGAAGCTCATAAGACTTTAAGATGCTCTTTTGTGTGTGTGTGTGTGTGAGAGAGAGAGAGAGAGAGAGACATTATATTCTACAGGTTAAGGGGAAATGGGTGTTGGAAGAAGACGTGAGCATATAACCAAAGATCAATAAGATGAAAACAGGGTAAAGTGGTAGCAAAATATTTTCTGGAAAAAAGCAAGGAAAAGTTGACAATACTGCCTTTGTCCTTTACTCTGAATCTCACTTTTCAAAATTCTCTCTCTCTCTCTCACACACACACAGACAGATATATGCAAAAGATCCAGGCTAAGACTTGAGAGGAGCAATCTTGGGGGTTCCCTATTTGGATGCTGGTTCTTTATATTAAAGCTTTAGAATTTCAGTGATCATCACGAATCTTATTGTAAACTTTGATTTTCAGGATATATAAAGGCAAATGACTTGGTGGAAAAGTAGGTTACAAAGATTTTTTTGCTAGATGAGATGCTGCCAAGTGAGATTTTTTCATGGCATCTTGATGCATCTAACTACTCGCAAATTAGGTTTGTGGGTTGCTTTCAGATTTTATGCGGACAGTAAAACTTGAACTCAAAATATACGGATTTATACGAATTGATTATGTCATCTTTTTCACCAAATTATTATCCTTAAATCTTTTGTATAAGTTTTCTAAAATTTTCAATGTGTTTTTGAATGATTTAATCACTTGATTCCCTCCAAATACAAAAAGAATCCCGCACTTATGATTGAACCAAAAGGGCTCATATAGGTCATAGATCCTTCATTGCAAAGAACTAAAAAAAATTGTGCTCTCTCGGCTATAGCGGTGTATGTGAGAAATTAATAGCTAGTTTTACTCTCATCTCAAATAGATTAAACTTGAAATTACGATATTTCACCTAGGTTGGATGAATGAATATTTGTCGTCACTACAAGTCAACTAATGCAAGTATTATAAAAATCAATCACTGAGAAATCCAAATGGCCCCTTTTCTTTACTCTATTAGTTCATTTCAAAAATATTGCTTAGAGCTCTATAATTCCATACCAAAAAAGAGCATGCAATTCTACACTCTAAATTTCAAAAGAATGTCACTGCCAAATAGTTTATATTCAGGATTGGGACTATTGTTCAGACACAAATTTATCAAATGTGACATGAGTCTCTACCTCTTATTTTTCTTAAATTCTATTATATGCAAAAAGTCTTGTGTAATGACATTACCTTTTAAGGAATGATTGTACTTTTTAAGCAAATAATCGTACTAAGGGAAATATTAGAGTATTGAAATTTACCGAAAAATAAAAATACTCCCCAAAAGATAGTAAGTTCTATCCCAAAAAAGATAAATTTTACTTAAAAAATGATAAATTGAATCAAAAAAATGAGTGCACCTCGAAAGTTAGTAAATTCCACCTAAAAGGTGATATAGATACACAAAAAATAACCAGTAAATAAAACAATATCGATTTTTTTTTGGGATATTGTAGAAGTCAGACCCTTGAATGAAATACTACAGTGATTCTCTAGGATTTATTATTTTATTACCACTGTACTTCCCTGGATTAATGTTCTTCTTTGCAGTTTGAATTTAAATTCCACCCTAGTACTGCAATATTGTAGGTGGGGTACTGAGTAGCTAGCTAACCAAACAGAGAATACAACAATTCCTAAATTGGGCTACTCATTGATCTACCCATTTCGATTCCTTTTTTCCTCAAAAAACGAATTTGCATGTCAACCCATTGCCAAACAAACAAAACCCTAAGGGCTGTTTGGTATGTTTTTTTAGGTGGAGTTTGAATTGGATTGTCCAAATTCGAGTTTGACCCAAAGAAGAGATTTCAAGATGGGATTCAACATTTAATACTGTTCATACCCATGTTTGATATGCGCATGAATATATGACTATTATGATAATATATTTGTATATAAATAACTATTGTGCCTCTTAACTAATTTGTAAATATGAGGTATATATGATATATAAGGGTATAAATGTCATTTGCATGTTAAACCCACAAATGAAACTCAACCCCCCTTGGGTTTCATAAAACTCAAGTATATGGGTTTCATGATCGGGCCGAGTTTGAAATCCTATCCATACTTCATAGTTGCCAAACATGAGTTTAAGGGGGTTTACTCCCTAACCCATGTTCCCAAACCACCCCAAACCCACATACCAAACAACCTCTTAGAGTATCTCTAATGTCCCTCGCCAGTGCAGTTTTTTAGCCATTTTGGTGAGCAAAATTTTAAATCATGTGCTCCAATGCCCTGGTTATACAGTTCGCCAAAATCTAGGAAGTCAAATTGTTCGCGTAGATCTGGTGAGGACAATCCACACGCCAGTTGCTACCTTCCTTCCATTTCTGCACAACGACACACTTCCTTCTTTCCATTTTCTCCTTCAGGTATCTCTTTCTCTCTCTGTGGCTTCATCGTCTTTAAAATGGCAGAACCCAGATGGGTGAANCCCCCCCCCCCCCCCCCCCCCCCCCCCCCCCCCCCCCCCCCCCCCCCCCCCCCCCCCCCCCCCCCCCCCCCCCCCCCCCCCCCCCCCCCCCCAAACCCACATACCAAGGGTTGTTTGGTAAAAAAGTACGAGGGGGGCTTAGTAAGATGGATTTGGAAAAAATAGTTCAAAGCTCTCCAAAATTCTATGTTTGTATGAAAATTTTAGTTCTGGGTTTTTAAACCCAGCCCGTAGCTAGTCTGAAGATTAAACTCATAATCATGGATTTCGTCAAATCTAAGGAGGGGGTGGGTTTGGGAAGATAGGTAAGGGAATATGGATCCAAAAGACAATTACACTCCTTAACATATGTATGAATTAGATTAATCAATCATAAAATAGTTATTTACAAGACTAATAATTGTTAATAATTATGATATATTCGTGGATCCTACATATGTTTGTGTTGCATACTAAACATAGGTATGAATCGGATTGAATATTAAATCTCATTTTTGCAAATAGGGATTTGAATTTAAAAAAGTCAATCCAAACTCCTCTCCAAAATTCACCCAAACAAGTCTTAAAAGAATTTACCTACTCCAGGGTTGAGTCTTTAGTCGATCCGCGGTCTAGTTCTAGTATTTATAAGGTTTTAAATTTGGATTCGAGCTACAATCTTTCTCAATCATATGTGTGATGCAATAGATCTCTAATCAATGAAAAAAGTAGATTTGCGTTATCTCAATAATTTTGAAATAGAGAATTCACAGGCAGTCTTGAATTCCCCAAATCTAGAATTTTTTCCAAACAATTCAGGTCTTAATTCAAAGATTAATAATATTTGGATTTAAAAATTTGATCTAATTTGTTGACATAATAATGTGACTTCAATAAAATCATTAGATAAACACTAAATTCAAATGTTTGATGGACTCCACAGTCAATCCAAAGATTATAGTGAATTAAGTCACAATAGCATTCAAATGAAATGCTCATTGAATGCGTGTGTTTGAGAGAGAGGAAAAAATATTCATTGCAACAGTGGTATCACATCCGCGTTGATAATAGTAAACCAATATTTATTTTAGAAGAGTTTACTTTGTCTATTTAAAGTTTTATTAGTGACTGGGGATCACTATTACGTAGAATATTCTCCAGAGAGAGAGTCAATTCCTACAGTCTATAGGTAAAAGAATTAATGTAATTTTAAATTGGTTTTTAAGGATATTTCATTAAAACACCATTTAATAGAGAATATAAATTGGTTCTGGACTCAACCCCACATGATTGTCCCCACACGTTTGAAGCCTAGATTAAGTTGAGAGTTATAAAGGAGATAACAATGAAAACGAAAACAGCTAAGAGCAACCCCTTTTAAATTATCAGAGACGTACTCCGAACTTTCAGCCTTTCCAAACTCTCCGCCACCTTCCCCTTCAAAGTTCAAAACTTCTCTCTCTCTCTCTCTCTCTCCCCACCATGGAGAACCGATTCAAACTACGAATCTCTCGCATGTTCCGTTCGTCTTTCGGGTCATGTCGGTCCAAAAACATCTCCGACGTGATTGAACAACCGGTTTTCGCCCCTCATAACCGCCAACACTACCAGTTGATCGATCTTTTTTCTTCAAAACCTCGTCCATTTTCTCCCGTTTGCAGACCCAAATGGCCTGAAACAGATGAACCCGAACACAGATTTACTGTGAACAAGAACTTGTTTCCAAGAAGCAAAGTATCAAAAGCAAACAGACACTCTCTTCTTGTTCCGGGTGATTTTGATGGTCGCAAGTGTCCACCTGTATCACCCATTTCACCTCTGAACACATTCTCTGAGTTCCAAGAATTTGAAGCAAAGCCAATGGAGAAAAAAACCAGAAAGATGAAGAAGAAGACCCATTTGAAGAATAAAAAGTTTGATACTACTGAATTTAGCTCATGCAAATATAATGGGTGGTTTAGCAGTGATGAAGATGATGATGAGACTACGCTTTTCTCTTCAAAGTCCCTCTCTCTTTCCTCTGATTCATCTGATTCATTTGCCCGAAACAAAGCTCGATTTTGCGACAAATCTCCTAAGACAAGGCGGAGAAGAACTGCGAAGAAGTTTGAGTTTGAGTCTGAGTCTGAGTCTGAAAAGGGTCCAATGCCATTAAAAGGAAAGGTGAGAGATAGTTTTGCGGTGGTGAAGCGTTCAAGCGATCCATACAATGATTTCAGAGCTTCAATGGTGGAGATGATCATCGAAAAGCAAATTTTCTCAGCTAAAGATCTGGAGAATCTTCTACAGTGTTTTCTGTCTCTGAACTCGTATCATAATCATAGGATTATCATTGAGGTGTTCTGTGAGGTTTGGGAAGCTTTGTTCTCGAATTGGTCTTGAAGAGAAAACTGTAATCTGTTTTCTTGTGCTTGGTTTGGTCATGAAAAAAGAGCAGTTAGTTTTCTAAGTTCTAACTGTTATTTGCAGTGTTAGTGCATTACAATCTTCCATTTTATCTACATCTTCTTGTTCTCCTTTGCTTCTCTCTTATTTGGCATTTGATATTTGGTATCAGATTGTGCTTACAGTTCTATTATTGATGTTTTTGCTCTTAAATGTAAAGTGGGTGTTCTAAGGGGGAATTTTAGATTGGGTGTAAGACTCTATAACATTGATTGATGATGGGGATAGATGTAACTTAGAAAAGATGCTTTTTTTGTTCAAATGAAAGCGCTTACAATTTGTCTCATTTTCTTTTGAGTTTGGACTTTTCTGAACTTTTTCTCCAATCTTACCTTGAAAAAGGAAATCATTTTTTTTCAAATGATTAACCATTTTTTGTCAAATGATTTTTTCTGCAAGTTTACCACATATGGGTGCAACTTGGAGTTGACCAAATTGAGACGTCACCGCGGACTCAACTCAAGTTATTGGATACTCAATCTGATTTTGTATTTTTCAGCTAGTGTCCCTCAATCATATATTTATACTCTGGATGAAATTTGGGTTCAATGCAAGTTAATCTTTTTTTTTTTTTTGAAATTTAGGATTTGTTATATGGTTGTACAATTCGAGTTTTTAGTTGAATAAAACCGAGTTAAATTTAAATCCGATCTTGAAAACCCGTACCTCCAATTCTGGTTGACCCTCACCGCTGATTGAATTACACTCTATTAACCCATGAAACAACAATGGTTCGAGCCTCACCCACCTTCCCCAACCTAATATATTATATCTTATATATATATATCAAAACTTATGAAGTATAACCACAATCCGAATACGACCAAACTAGCCCTAACTTATGGCCAATTTTATACAACCATGGTCCAACCTTATATTAATAGTCATGTGCCATAAGCTCATTTCCATCCACAAGCTTCTCAATTAGCTGAATAAAATATAAATTAAGATTGTCGGCCAGACAAAAAAAACTATCATTAAAATATTTGACCACATATGATTGGTATAATGCAAGTGGACAAAATATCCAAGCAATAGGTGCATGTAGAGTGGTGGTGCTACATATATGAAAGAGACAAAATGTGTCATTATGTGTTAGGTACTCGGGTACACCTATCTTTGTTTGGTGAGTCAAAGAGTGATTTGGAGTTGTCAACTCATTTGGTAAAAATTTTGGTATGCATAGCATTTCTCCAAATAAAAATCGAAAACCCCTTTCTTTTCGGTTGTCGGTGTAATTTCAGAAACCAACAAAGTATCTCATAAAATAGCTACAAACAAAAGGGGATGCCGGTGTAATTTCTCCCAAACTAAATAAAAATTAAAAGCAGAGAGGAAAGAAAGTGACAGGTTTTAAATAGGGAGATTAGGGTTCAGAGCCACATTCCATAACCAGATAGCTCCTGAGAGAGATGGGTCCTCTGTGAACTGTTATTTTTAAAACATTGATAGGTCGGTTTCAAGGGAAGGCCTACATTGGGTTTGCATAGGTTGGTGAAAAATTGAATGGAAAGGTAGTTACAAGGTTTGCAGACAGAAACAGAATGAATCAGAAAGGGTTGGGAACTTATTCACTCTAAAAAATATATAAAATTAAATTAAATAACAGTTGATACATAGCAATGGTGTACGAGCGAAAAGTGAGAATAAAAGGGCAAAAAAAATTGCAATCCATAATCTTCACAAAAAACAAAAAAAAAGACGACGCCACCATTGTTGAGCAGGGGAACAAATAGCAATCGAAAAACCTCACCGAGAGTTGTGACATACCAGAAAGAATAAAAAAAAATGAAAAAGTTTTGGTAACTAAAAGTCGAGGGAAAAATTGAAATATAATGACACTACTAAGACTGTATTGAAATAAAACATTAAAATATGACTTCATTGATAAAAAAAACAAAAATGATAAGACTTCATGGATATTTGTAAAAAAAAGTAATATTTATTGGTAATTTTTTTGTATAATCTTCCATTAGCAAACCTCAATGGCAGCCCAGTGGAGATAAGGGTGAGTTGTAAATTTATACGTCTTGAGTTTTAAATTTTATAATTTCTTTAGGGTCAAGCCATTGAGAATTTATCTTTCATGAATTTTTTAATCCTGTAATAGATGATCTTCTTTTAATCGAATTGGAGAGAGAATTAGTCGATGTGTGCATAAAATAACCCAGATATCTCTCACAACAATAACAAAAAATAAAATTTTGAGTTATTGTGTGGTTGTCTTGTTTCTTATTGGATTTGCAAAAGAGTTGATTTGAAAATGACAAAAGAATATTCTAGAATGTCATAGCGCATATAAAGTTAGTCACGACAATGTATATTCCACTCATAAAAATATTTAGAATCAATCTCAACTTTTAGAATTGTATTAAGACATAATTTTGATCTCAGTAATTTGCAATATGATAAAGGAAACTTAGTCATGGCAATTGTAATTTTTTTTTTTAATTTGTTTTGAAAAGTTTGGCCAAGCAAAGCAAAAGATGAGAAAGTATATGGATGGTTCTTAGAAGCGTTTACTCTTGAGATTGGGTGTAAGACTTTACAACCTCTATTGATGATGAGATTGAACTAACTTAGAAAAGATGCATTGTTTGTTTCAAAAGATGATGCCTCATTTTCTATGAGGTTAGACTTTTCTGAATCCTTTTCCTCCAATCTCACCAAAAGAATAGAAAAAGGAAATCACTTTTTTTTTTCTTTCAAATGATTAATAAATTAGGGATATGGTTGTTTTTAGTTCAATTTATAAGATGTTGATAAATAGTAACATCGTTCGATTATTTCACAATAATGACTTAGGCTCCTCAGCAGTGATGTGTTTTAATAAGTTAGTGACTTGATTACGGTAAAAAAAAAAAAAAAATGGGTACCGTACCTTTAAAATTTACTATTCTAATAAATATTTTTATAATTCTTATGGGTTATTTTATAGTAAAAAAATTTACCACATTTTTTAGTGTCTTATCACTATTATGAGTATTTTTATAACTATTATGATAACTATTTTTGTCACTTTTTCTTCGATACAAATTTTTTTGTCATTTTTATAGATGTTTTCATCATTGCTGTGATAATTATTTTTATCACTTTTTTTGATACCACAACAGTGATAAAAACACTCATAACAATGATAAAAACTTATATAATAAAGTAGAATACAATTTAAACAAAATGACTTTTTCTTTTTGTGGTTGAAATCTCTTTAAATTTTAGCTTAAAGTTAATTCGACAGCTAATATTAACACTTTAAATTTAATAGAGAAAATAAGCATCTAAGTGTGTATTTGAGGTAATTTTTTAAAATTATTTCTATGACTTATAACTACTTATTAGTTCTTTAAAAAACAATAGTGTTAGAACCGTTCCATCATCACCACCACCCCCACCACCATCATCACTACACCTCCACTGTCACTCCACAACAACAATTACCCCCCAAGACCATCACTACCACCACTACCACCACCATCACTACCACTATGTCCACCGCCCCACCACCACCCTCGCTACCACCCAAACACCACTTCTACCATAACAACTACCACCACCACTACCACCACTGTCGCCACCCTACCACAACCACCACCGTCGCTACCCCACCGCCACCTCTGCCACAAAAACGGCTACCACCACCACTGTCGTCATCCCACCACCACCACCGCTGTCACCATTCCAGTACCACCTCTATCACAATAACAACCACCACCACCACCATCACCACTACCACCACATCAACACCACCATTGACACCATTCTACCACCACTTCCATCATCACCATCACCACTACCCCCAACACCATTATCGTCGCCACCCCACCTATGCCACAAAACCATTATCATCATCGTTGTCGCTGCCACCACTACTACCGCCATCCCACCACCACCCCCTCCATCGCCCTACCACCACTATCCCCACTACAACTATCCCACCATCGCCACCCACCATCGATTACTGTCATTGTCGTCCACCTCCACCTCCCACCATAATCTTCATCTCAATCTTATATTTATTACTATTGTCACCATCGCTCATCATCAACACCCATCACTACTATTGTTGCCCATAGTCACCAACTACCACAACCTACCGCCACCCGTTGTCGTCCACTATCGCCGTCAGCTACTATCACCTATCCCCACCATACCTACCACTACCAAACGCCACTACCTGTCATAGCACACCACTATCACCACCCAGTGTCACCCATCCCCACCACCTACCACCATTGTCATTAGTCGCCACCCATCACATTGTTGTCTAGAAGTATCAGTCGTCGCCCACCACCATCAACGTCACTACACATCACCACAACTCACAATTGCCACCACCACGATTGTTACCCCTACCACCCCCATTGCCAACCATCACAACCCACAACCGCCACCACTATCGTTGTCACGCCCACCACTCCCATTGCCAACCACCATTATCGTTTCCCACAACTACCATCGTCGTCATCCATAGTTGCCACTATCACCATCGTCACCCAAAATCCACTACCATTACCATTACCATTGTCACCCACGGCTGCCACCATTATCAAGGTCATCACCACCCATCACAACAATCACCGTCTCCTACCACCACTACTGTCGCCAACCACTAGTACCACCACTTACTCCTACTATAACTGGTGCTTAAATTTCTTTCCCTCCTCTATATTTGTGATTTAATTTTGGGTGTGTATACAAATATATTTATTATAGACTATTTTTTTTTATTATTTTGTACTTTCAAATACCGGCAATAACTAGTATTTACAAATATGATAAATAACGGTATGTTACCATAAGTTAGACACGTGACTTGGACCATTATGCAGTAGTGTTGAAGATGGCTCCATTATTTGGTGAAGATTTACAACTTCCACAGTTAACATAATCTGTTTCTTATTCCTCTACATTAATTAAGGGTGTAATTGGGCAACATCAATTCAGACTCAACTCAAATTATAAAATTGTGTTCAATCCGATTATAATGCGTCCTTTAATCATATTTCAACTTGGGTTGAAATTCAGTTTCA